GGTTTGAAGAGATATGATTAATTTATTTAGATACAACGTAAAATACTACATAAATATTAAATAAATAATGGTGATGAAAAATCAGGAAATGTGTTATTATTAATATAAGCTTATACAAAAGTAAAACGGACGAATACATTGGAAATATATAGGAAATTCAAAGAGAAAATAAAATGGAATTAAATAACCAAAATTACATGCAATTATAATATAATGTTGTGAAAATAATCTTATTATAATGATCTTTTTTAATGAATAATATTCTAATAACACACAAATATGTATCTCAATTATTAAAAATGCCTGATTAAAATTGAGAAGATTTATAGTTGGATCGAGGTTTGATATAACGGTACTTAATGGAGGAGAAAAGAGATATCGAAATAAGAGCGAGTCCGAATATGGATAGGTGTGCGCAAACCGAGTGATGATTTACAAAGCAACGGCGGCTGCACGAGGAATTGGCACGCGATAAAGATGGAAATAAAAAATTGCATTGCACGTAGCACGATTTATCGCATGGCGCCATGTTGGATTGCGGACCTACGATGAATTTATAACAGTCTAGATAAATGTTAAAATCGATAAAATCGTTGTGAGAAATTTCGTCAAGACGCTGTAGAAAGATTAATTGCAAGATAAAAACGAATTAGCCTTTTAAGGAACTTATAGTTATATTATAAAAAGAAAAAATATTATTTTTATTTCAATTTTGATAAAAGTATAATGATTGCAGTCACGCACAGAAAGAACAGTTTTGCTATTTAAAAATTTAGCTAGATCACATAGATCTGAAAGTAATTTTATTGGATAAAATAATTATGGTAAGACACTCAAGCTACTTTCTGGAATGTTAATTTTTTGCAATATTATGCTGGAGTGTCCTACATAATTATCTCGATGGTCCAAGAAAATTATTTTCGGATCTATATTTACCTAATTTTTTGAATTCTTTAGCAAAAACCTTCCATCTAATTTCAGGATATACAGAATTATCGAGAAATATTCTAATCCAACAGTTATCATGTTATTATTAATTTCATTTAAAATACAAGCATATATTTGTCCTAGAAAGGAATCTCATATTTATCATTAAATTTACTACGAGAATACAGAGTTTAAAAATCGCTTTCTCGGAACCGTTTCGGTGTTTGGTGAAGTGGCGATTGCAAAGATGAAGAAGAAAATGGGAAAATAAAAGGTGCCCGATACGATCTTCGCACACAACAATGATACACAAAAGCATTCTTGGATGGGCCAGGCTCGATCTCGACGCGAGGCGAGGCGAGAAGTGTGCACGCTACTACAGCACGATAAAAGACAGAAACGAAGTCCCGGAACACGTAATAAGATTTATCGTGTTCTTAGATCGTGGATCATGATACACGCGGATTTACAGTTCGCGGCGCGTCGCGTACGTAAACACGAAAATCGATAAAGCGAGCGGCAGCAAAGATAGAGCAAGGCGAGCGCTCGAAAATCGATAAAGGGCACCGGGAATATCGGAAGGCATACTCGAGCGAAATATATTGGGAGCGAAGCAAGGAAGCAAACGAGAAATAAAGGATATCGTAGCGGAAGGAAAGTAGCGCATTCGCTACATGCCAAGAGACGATTTTCGAAACAGTGAAAATCGGTTTTTCGTTTGTTCCTTCACAAACCGTAAGAGGAAATGGGGTTTTCTCCTCTCTTTTCAGCATAATAAATAAAGTTTAATCTTCTAAAGGAATTGATTAACTTTTTAGTACAATGTTATTATTAATTCGTATTTTTATTGAAATTATGCGATTTAAGATACATATTGTGTGTATAACTATTCAATAATTATATTAAATTATCTTGTATAGTCATATTGCGTTTTTTTTTTTATAATTTAAACCACACGTCTACTGAATTTTAACGTTGAGATTAAATAGATATATTAAAAGCAAGTTATACATTTTTTCATTCAAGTTACAAATTTACAAAGTAAAGGAGATTGCGAAATTGCGCAATAGTTTGGCTATTTTTACGTAACGATTTTAACGTACACCTTATATGAGATCGTAAAAGACATTTTCGAACATGCTTCTGCTCCCTCGGAAGACGTCCAAGCATTAAGATATTATTCACGGTGTTTGAGCTCAGGTCGTGGATTACCATGTACCCGTTTATAGGATATTCCGTGCGGGTGAATTCAAAAATCGATAAAGAGTGCTTGGAACATTGGAAGGGTCGTTGGGAAGAGAGTGTAGGGAAGGCGATAGTCGGAAAGACCGTGTCTTTCACATAGAGAGGAGAGATCGCCGCCGTGCAAGTGAGACGGCAGTATTCGTATTTCCACAATTTGCGCACGTCCGTGCGATGCAAAATTTCCACGATCCAATATCATTTAAATAAGCTCCCTGGTGCTTCTTCCTCATCATAAATTACCGATGTTAGCATGTAACAATAAGTGGAGAAGATAACACGCGAAATTAATGCAATTACCAATAATTTCTTCTAACTGTATTAAACCAGCGTGAAAATAAGCGGAACTCCAGTCGGGGTTGGAACGAGGTATACCTACATGCGGAATCGCGAGATTAACGCAATTATCGATAATTTCTTGGATCCAACGTTAAATCAGCGTGAAAATAAAACAACGTCAATTTGGAAAATTACAAGATTCGATATCAGCGTGTGCGTATTTATGTACCGAGAAAACCGAGTGCGGATATCGACAGCGCGGCCAGGGACCATCGAGTGAGAATATGGAAACGCGTCGGTGGAAATGGCCGTGTCTTTCTAAGAGAATGGCAGGCAGGGATGAAGAAGTATAGGTGAGAAGCGAGAAGAGAGAGATAAAGGAGGGACGAAAGAAAAGAAGAGAGAGAGAGAAAGAGGGAAGAATAGCCAGGGGCAAGAGAATGGTATGGGGGGAGCACGCATTTCCACCATTTATACACACGTCGGGGGAGAACGGGGGGAGAACGGTGGCGATGGTGGTGGCGGCGGCTATCTCGTCGATATTTCGGTTTTCCCCATTCCCGGGGTCTCTGCCCTCTTCCACCAATTCTCTCCTCTCCCTCGCTCCCTCACCCTCGTCTGCCTGCCTACTACCCCCTGACGAAACAGCCCGACGGGTTCTCGCCGTTGTACTTTCGGACAGGGCTTAATCACCGTAGAGGGTTCCCCGTCGTATTTGCTGCTGACGAGAAAGGATCCGGTCTTTATCTCGCGCGGCGCACGTTGCCGCCATTGCCGAGATTATTCCGTTCTTCCCTTCCGGCGATTCCGTTAATTCCGTTGTGGAATTACGACGACGGCGATGTGCGCGCGCGGTTGCGGAATTGGCCGAGAGAGCGACCTGCTTGACCGCTCTCGGACGTTCGGTAATTAACCCTTCGCACTTATCTGCATCTCTCTCCATTCGTAGCAAAGGTGAAGAAGGTCGCCGTAATCACGTGCAGTCCTAATCCGCCGTGTTTATTGTCGGATAAACTGGAATACAGTCAACGTCCAGATCTTTGCATGCAATTTATCTGTATTATCTCAAAGTAGAGTTATTTCTTAAAAATCAGAATTTTTTACAGTAACAAATTGAGTTAGACTACCGCATGAATAAATTGAATAAGGAAAGGGTCAATATTGATCGAGAATAGATTTTGTCTATAAATAATAGGTATTTTTATATGTAAATTCCAAATACATCTTTCAATTATACAAACTGCGTGCGGATTTGAAACGTATTCATAAACTGAAGTTGAAATAATATCACAATTGTGTGTAGTCGTCGATCTGATGCTGTTTGTATCTTAAAATCTTGTAAAGAACTTATGAAAAATATCATCTTAGTTAGGATTCAAACCTGGAACCTCCTAACTGTCCAGAGTGTCTTTTCTAATTCGATCACTGAGGCGTATAATATTTGTCGCAATTATCAGTATACATACTTACTAAATTTTTTGGAATCTTACTCTAATGCCCAATTTCTTCACCTCTAGCTAACTTTATCCAAGAGATATCTCCTAGATAAGGTTATCCGCAACTTATTTGGAAGTGAAGAAATTGGGCATAAAGAATGAAAATTGAGCCAGTCTTGAAAAAGAATGGCTTAATTTTTAATCTTTAAGAATGAAATTTTACTCTTCATAACGAGATTTATTCTAAAAATTTTAGAGAGTAAGAAAAGAACGTATTATAAGGCTAACGTGTATACATATAAACAATGAGGTAACTCCAGTATTTACGCCGCGCGAAGATTTACGTCGCATAAATCAGAAAAAATAGGAGTGGGGGTAATTTTGTTTCTACGCAACTATTCTGTTATATTAGTTTTGTGCTATGATTTCAACTTCCTACTATTAATATTAATAAAATTACTGTCAGTGAATCGATTTGTCAATGTAGTAAGCAACGCAATCATATATCATAATCCACATAAAATGATTACTATGATCAAAATGGCATGAATCGATAGGTTTTCCTTTGCACATTCCGAAACAAATTGATTTTTTGTTTGCACACATTTGATTAAAAAGTTATCAATAAATAAATGTTTCAGTTTGAATTCTAAAGAAACGAAATTGAAATTACACCATTTAATAGATAAATCTATCGAATAGTGTTTCAATCTCGTTTCTTTAGAATTCGTGCTGAAAATATACTTTTTGCGATCTGAAGGGAGTCCCCCATTTATCTGCTAATTACTTCTTTTCTTACGTTAGGCCTCTGGAGGCCTATTCTTAAAAAGTATCGCATATGAAAAACTAGAGAAATGCTATAGTATATGTAACGCATCTATACATTTCCTTAATTTTTTGTATGCGATACTTTTCAAGAATAGAGGCCCTGGCCTGTGTTTATCTCTCTCACATGTGGTGTGCACACTGATTATTCATTTGCCATAAGCATATGGGACTTGTAATTTTAATTCCAGTTCCGAATGGCGGATTTTTCGAGAGATGTTTCTGTGGGCAAGAATAGGAAGGTTATCGGCTTTTTCCGAGAAGAAACACGAGTGTAAAGATTTTGGTTTCTACCGGGATCGAACCCAGGATCTCTGGTATGATAGATCAGTGCGCTGTCTGTCATGCCACGTTCGTGCTCAAACTATACACTTAACTAAAAGTATGTAAATGAAAAATCAACTTGTTTCGGAATGTGCAAACGAAATCCTATGAATTGAGATCAGATAAACTTAATTTGTTTGTAGTTGGGGTGCTAGTATGGGATTAGCCTCTTCAATTGTTTTTTTTTAATTACTTTTTTACCAGAAGTGTGCAAACGACAATTCGAAATGTGTATATATGTGCAAACGATGAGTAACAGAAAGTTAATTGTTTCAAAAGTTGGGAGCAACTTCATACGGGTTATGGGATATACATAAAAAATGTAAAGGTTTCGAAAAGTCCTTTTTTTAATACGAAAAATAAGTATTTAGAATTTCTAATATTTTTTTCATAGCAGTAGATAGTACACTATTTTTACTGGTATATATGTTCATTTACCTTGAACACAGTAAATAATATTTAATAAATTAAGTTTTTGTTATGTGTGTAGATATATATCGAAGTTACCCTTAGAAGTTAATTTAGACTATGTGAAAAAAAAAGTTTTATTGAATAATTTGCCTAAATAACATTTTCTATTTTCGAGTTTTTGGATTTATAACTGAGGACCTCTTCTCTCTTCTCTCGCTCTCTCTCTAAAAATATGTTCATGTAGGGTAACTGTCCCAATTACTGTGCCTGTCCCTATTAGGGTGCTTTTGTATTTCGATAAGTCGTAAAGAAAACTAGCATAAATAAATAAGAAAAAATATTTTTTTTTGTTAAGTTAAATTATTAATACGATACCGAAGATAATATTTTATTTTTTGAGTATTAGAGTATTTTAAATATTTTTCGAAAGATATGAGGAATTTATGTGAATCCAGTAATACCGCAAGATTTTAAGCTTGTTCCTATTAATATGCCTTGTATTGCTGAGAACGTTGTGTTATGAGTGTACTTTGAAATAAATATAATTGAAATAATGATTTATGTAATATTAACATAAACAATTAGCTTAAATTTATTATCTGTTAGTAACTATATGTTAAAATGAGTCAAATAAGCACACAAATTGGCGGCACATTAATAGGACCCGCCATTTAGAGGATTCACCAACAGGGATAAAAACATGTTTTCTATTTTTGTCAAAAGCATTATAAAGTATTAACATTTTTTAGATTAAAGAAATATATAAGAAAAAGAATAGTCAGAAATAAAGAAAAATATAGTTGAAAAACCGATATTGATTGCAAGCAGATAAAATTAAAGCTACAATATTTAATAATTAATTCAGTAATAAGCAAATTGGCTAAAAGGCACATTATAATAGGGACAGTTACCCTATGCAAATTGCGAGGCGTTTGGATCTGCTTTAATCTGGCCATTGTCAGAAATCCTATGTACGTTAATTTTATTCTATTGTAAAATTCGTTCATGTCGGAAATTCTCGCGGTTCTTCATAGTCGCGCAGTCTCGCCGTCAAGAGTTTTGACATCAGGCGATTCGCGAGATGAACGTTGCAGCAGTGGCATGCGCATTTCCAATAAAACGGCTCTCCTCCTCCTCTCCCTCGCACACACGCGCATATATTCTCTTCTTTCACATCGAGTTCCCCTTGCATCGCGTAATTATCTTTGCCCTGCCCTTTATACGAGAGGAGCATGTCGCGTCGACTGCCGTGACCAAAGAAGTGCGTGTTATACGCGTGTGTGCCTCGTGACGGCATATTTATCGCTTCCGGACGCAAGCTGTCTGTGACGTTTACGAACACATCGAACTTTGTCCGTGTACCCTTCCTACCTCTCTCACCCTTGTACCGCATCGCTTCTTTCATCTCATTTCTGCTGTGAAAATCTGGGGTAAAAAATTACACCGAGCTTGATGCGCACTGCAGTGATGGACATCATATACAATTAACGGAGAATATCAAAAGAATCTATAACATGAAAAGAACAAATTCTATTCGATCTCTAATCGATTTTACTTACGTGTAGTTATCTCTAACTATTTATGTAAATTCGACATTTCATCCAATTTTTCGAATTCTTTGAAAATTAACAGAGAAAAGCAGAATAGATAACAAATTCAAGGTAGAATATCGCGAAATTTTATGAATATTGAAAATTTTAATTACTGCATATTGAAATGATATTTACGGTACTGGCGCGATTTTTTTTTCTTACACTAGAGTTCGTGCTTTCTATTTGATTCGCTTTCGTTTGGTTTCTCTTTCATTCGTTCCCCTCCCCCCCCCTCCTCCCCCGCTCACGCGGTGATTTCAAACGCGATGTGCAATTCCAGCCTCGCGCTCACACGAACGCCGCCTCCCATTCTCTTTGTACACGGCTTAGTATTCCGCGGCTACACCAATGATTCGCTATGTGCAGGAACCTTCAGGCGGAGTCTGCTTTCTGGAATATTGCACGTGTCTCTGTTAAATTACATACTAAATGCTTCAATAGAAAGAAATTCCATTCTGTTCTCTTTTGTACTGCAGTATCTCGTAAAAGTAAATCGGCTTCGAGAAACAACAGTATAAATATTATATCACGTAAATATGGTAAGATGAAGATTTAAAAAATGCTTGACAAGAAGCTTTATATATATTAAGGAAGAATCAATAAAAATTAGGTTGAGATCATCAGGTTTAAAGTGGTTCTTTAGTAAATGGAGTTACCGTAGAAATGTCTAATTTTTTTTATCATGAAGTTGTAGACCTCTCTGCTGGAGGTCATAGTGCCAGAAGTTATATGTGTCAAGCCTTAGAACCTTTTCGGAGAGCAGAGGCTCGCTTGTTCTTCACTTTTAATAATGGTAGATTTATTCACTCTCGGAGTCAGATAGACCTACAGTTTAACGCTGAATCCGAACTGGTGACTTCTCTTAATCGCCAGATGGAACCATTTTCGGTTCCTTAAAAAAGCGTATATGGGATCGTACCCGCATCTACAAACGAATCAATCGACGACCCGCCGAAATTGACGTGTGCAAAATTCTACGTAGGTTAATGATGAAATAAAAGAGAAAAAAAAAGTTGAAAATGTAACCTTTCACCATAACTTACAATTAGTGACAGATAAGGCTCGCAGACGTTTCTTTGACTAATTGCACACAAATCTTACCATAGACTTTTTTCCAAAACAAGAATATAATAGTTTAAAAAATTACGATTTTGGGGATCATAAAAAAGTAATAGGTCAACGGCCACTCTGGAAAGATATTTACGTGCATAAATTTGCATATAAATTTAACCTCGAAAAAATAAACATAATCTTATCTTATTTTCGTTCGATGAAGATGCAGCTTTTGATTTACCATCGTATGTTCCGTACTATTTCATTAAGATATACAATTTTAATATTTTCTCCAAATTATACAGATATTTGTAATTTTGGGTGAGCCTCAGTGAGACACCCCAAATTTTCGGCACTTTACTGAAGAGCCACTTAAAAAAAAACCAGAAGAGGCGTTTGCGTTGTGTGAAAAAGATGAAAAAAAAAAAAGAGAGAAAAGACCGAATATCTCCCGACAGACGCACGCGGTCTCTGACGCATCAATCATTTCAGCTTTTTGCTCTCGCGAGCGATCTCCCTCTCCCTCGCGATTTAAGCATTCCGCCGACGTGTCTGCCCCCTTCTTTCTGCCATTCGATACGTGCACGCCCGCGCGCCATTGTCGACTACTGCACATCGCCGTTTCTGTCCGATATCCGTTTCCCGAATATTTTGCTCCTTCTACCCACACCTCCCATGCGCCACTCCGGTGTGCGTTATACGGGGTATCCTTCCTCGCCGATGTATTCGGTATGTACAGAAGTGCTTAGCCAGCGCCTAGGCCAGCATGGAATAGCTCGGCTGCCGCGTCGCTATGCGCTATAAGCATAAGCACACTGCGAGACCGACCGCGCTGAATGAGAACGTGGGTGCATACAGCCGCCGTTAAGGCGAATTTACGCGGTTCGCTCGTGGCGATTATCATACCAGGGGTGAATCAACCTGAACAAATATATTCGCTAAACAAAGTTTTAAACGTTATCGTCACTTTACTATAGACTTTATAAATATGAGGTTTGTTAGCGTTGCTTGAAAAATTGCCCCAAAAGTTTTGGCACTTAAAACAAAATAAATATATATTTGGGTGTTGAAAAGAGAGGAAATGAAGATGCTGAGTGCAAAAAGTGCAACGCGAATACACCTATACACTGCACATTTCCTGGGCTTGGTATCTGCAGTGTTCAATTCTCGGAAAGAATTGAACATGATGAGCGTTTCTCTTCAACTCGATGCTTTAGAACGAGAGAGTGATATCATTATATGTCATCAAGTTATTTCATTCTTTCTGAACCTGTAGTGACACTTTCATACACGGAACAATACGAAAGAACAACTTTATTGAAATATTTAACGATTTAGCTACAAATTTAAAAATAATTTTATTGGACTTATAAAATTATTATGTAGGACGTTCAAGTATTATGAGGAATGCTGCATAAAACTTTGACATTCTAGCACATTTTATATAATTATTTTCTGATTCAAAATTATTTTTAAATCTGTATCTAGAGCTAAATTTTTTAACTCTGCAGAAAATAGTTTTTTTCGTACAGGAAAACCGCAGTCTATTCTTATACAAAACTTGTTTTATTAAAGTATCTAAAAATTTAGCTGGATATAGATCAGAAAATAAATTTTATCAGACTATCAAAATAATTTTATAGGACGCTCAAGTTATAAGTTGCTGAAATGTCAAAATTTTTACAGCATTTCTCATTATATTTGAAAGTGTTCTATATAATAATTTTGATAGTCCAATAAAATTATTTCTAGATCTGTGTCTAGCTAAATTTTTAGGTACTTTAGTAAACTCATTCTTTCCGTGTATGATCGTAATAAACACTGCTCGATGGAGAAAAAGACGTCTGAACGCGTAGGTTCCTTTTATTTGACAATCGCAACTATAAACTATAACATATGGAAATTTATAAATTCATTTATAAATTATAGTAGTAAACCATAGAGGTTTAGCCTTCTTGTTCCGCTCGTATACGTGACATATGTTATGGATGCATAATTCTGTTTCCGTTTCATCGATTTTGGACGGATCATAAAGAAGGCTTCGTGTCATATCGTATTGCATAAAATGACTCTAATAGCCGACGTATAACAGCGTACGCTTGGCAGATATGTCCGCTTATTATGTTAGCATCGATGCACCCAAGTATGCGCCGCATTCAGTGTTATTGCTCTCTCCAGACGCGTCCATATTTGCACGCTGAACAGCGATACACCTAAGCACTACGTGCATATATATATGTATGTGCGCGCATTGCGTTGTCGCGTGGGTTCCGTGGGCGTCTCGGCGTCGTCGAGACGTCTCATCCTTCACAGGATATATTAGACGGAAAGCTGTATATCGTACACCCAGGGACTCTTAAATTTGACCTAGTCTTGAGACTTTTACTTGATACTCATGTAATATTTAACACAGTATAAACACGGAAATACTCTTAATATTTTTTATATAACCCTAATATTTTTTAGACTGATAATTTTTATATTGAAAATAAAAATAAGAATTGTAGCGATATTATATTTTATATTTGTGCAATTAATGTTGAAATTAATAATTAATATTAATATTATAGAATTTTTACTTGATTTTATAATTGAAGATAAAAAAATTGCAGTAATAAAGCTCTTATTGGCACATATTTATAAATTTATAATATTTAAGATACGAATATCAAAGCAAATCTTCTTATTAGATGGAAATATCCTTTTCTTTTTCCGAGTTAAAATTTATCAAAATGGATTCACATAGCGTGTTGTAATTTTTTAAAAATTATATCCAACAACTTAAACAATTAAATCGGGGAAGCATAACCAGAGCAAGCCTTTGATCCTAGGTAGTTCTCTCTCCATGGCGTAGTTGTTACTCTTAACTGGGATGTAAATGTAGGCAAATAAGGCCAGCGTTACAAGTTCCCGAGGATGCATCTTTACGAGACCGCGAGCGACCGCTCGGCATTACGTGAGGAATCTCTTACCAGGACGAAAAACATCGAAATGCACTTTTCTGAAGTACCACGCAAAATTTTCTTTAATATCAAACGATGAACAGGGAGTTATTTTAGCTTGTCATACCGTAAAAGCTACACGTAGGATATGTACATATCGTGCATAAACTGTAAATATTAATCGAATTCCCGTCGACATGTCTGCTATGGAGCAAAAGTGCACATCTGCGTATTGCAGCTGGCAGATTGAAGTTTTAAGAAATGTTACAAGGCACAATGTAAAAGCCATTAGAGCTCGCGAATTTATACATTCTCTTATTTTTGACATAAGAGAATTTTGGGAAAAACGAGTTGTTTCCCTTTACATTTTCAGTTTATAATTTTTCAGAGAAAAAGAAACCGATAGATAAATATCTGAAGCAATTTTACACGTTAATTTTTCTTGAATTTTCTCATGTCCTTTTCTGGTGTCGACGTAGATAGTATATTAACCATTTACACGAACCTCATTATGAGGCTTGATAAAACGAGCCGTGATAACGCGTTGTTAGCTACTGATGCACGGATAAATGATAACAGATAAACAGCGACTGGTGCAGGCTCGCATGCCGTGATGTAGATAAATAAAAGAGGGTAAAAACTAAATAACAATACTATTTCCATATAGATTGAGATGTCCACGGAAGCTGAAAAATCGCGGTGGGTTATTTCCAGAGTTGCGTGTCGCAACAGCATTGCAACGAACTCGGTTAGGATGCGACGCATCGAATCTGTAACTCGGTGCAAATGCGTTGCCGCATTCCTCTTTACCCTACCATCATCTCTTTCTCTCCCCCTTCTATTCCTTTATTTCTCTCGTTTCCTTCATCGAGGTTGTAGGGGAAGGCGCTCGAATTTTCATCGTTGACACGCCGCTGAAAACCGAAACGACTATGCGACGCCATTATTCCTTTCCCTCTTCCGTCGACCGTCGAGCGCGCGCGTTAATCGATACTGGAAACACGGGAAGATACGCGCGCCTTCCTGATTAGAATTTTTAAATATTCAACGTTGCACAGCCGCGTGTCGCGAGGAAAATATGAAGCGCACGAGAACCGTGCCGCTCGGTATTCTAATATCGGGCTATCTTTGACGATAGATTAGATTTCGACGAGCCGTTTTGCGATTAAGCGGGACTTCATGCTACGACGGCTATTCTTTTTGTAACGAGCTCTCACAGAAAACGTTCTCTGGGCGGGGCACGCTAGTGCTATTTTATAGCGTCGTTGCAGCATATTATAGTGATAAAACGCTTTATAAATAATATGCGCTTAGTTACCGCATTCATAGATTGCGTGGTACTTGGAATTTTATTGAGAATCATAAATCATCGTGTGATTAGGCAAAATAGTAACAATGTTATCGGACTCAAAATCATTCGATTTTAATAAGTGTAAAGATTAAATGCGTTAAAAATTAAAATTTTTGTTGATTAGTCTCTGGAGAATTATAATAATTTTAAGTATGTTACAATATTATTGTGATGTATGAGATTTTTAATTTTTAATATTAAAGTTCTAACGAAAAGAAAGACATTGATCATTAGTGCTTTTGAGATATAATTTGTCATTATATCTCAAATTTAAAATATTTCGTATAAAAGATACAGTCTTTTTTTTTAAATATATTTCTAGAAGACAAATTACTCGCAAGACAAAGCGTTTTCGATGAGAGCGCATTACGCTTTAATTATTCTCACTTTAAGGTGACTTTCAACGATGAATTAAATTTCATTAAGAGGGATCTTTCCTCTTGTAAAGCATTCGCGCTTGATATGATACGATATGCATTTCCTTTGATTAATGTTCTTATACATATATCCATTCAGTGTTAAGCTGTGGAAAATATGATGCGCGAATGGTCGGTATTTACACATTGCTATAAATATTTTGACAGAAAAATAGCCAGGCGATGTATATATAAATGTGTCTCCGTTTGTAGACTAATGCGGGGATTAAGAGCTTAACGACAGACATTTTGAGCGCATGGTGTTTTGTGCCGCAGCATTACAACACGTGTCGACTGCTGCGCGACGTTAAAACGAAATACACGTTTGTCAAATATGTGATCGACAATGGTCAAGATGTCGCGAATCGCGATGCAACGTTTAAAATCAGAGATTCGGATAAATGTTAATTTTCACCAGCGGAGGACTTTATTGTATTTGGAATTTATGGTGTACGCGGTTCTCTCGTTAAAACAATAAAATAGACGAGTCGGTCGCTCGCGTACAACTTACGGTTTGTTTGTAACGAACCGCGTCGAATAAAGTCCGTTGCTCCCCTCAATGTTCCATACAATTTCCGTACGTTTTATCTGAAAAAGCTAATCCGTTGGAGTGACTACGTAAGTTTTCTCTCACGCTTGAATATTAACTGGAATCTGTTGAAATGCGTGTTGAATAAATCGAAAGCATTAGATGGAATTAAAATTTTCTTTAATAATTGAAAGAATTTTGTACCGTCTTATGATTTTTTTTTCATTTTTGACAGAATTTCGTAATTTCTATATGGAAAGGACAGTTTTACTAAAGTATTAAAAAATTTAGCTAAATACAGATGATTCAACAAAATTATTTGTAGATCGTCTGTATTTGGCTAAATTTTTTAATACTTTAATAAAACTGTCCTTTCCATATAGAAATTACGAAATTCTGTCAAGAATTAAAAGAAATATAAGACAGTACAAAATTCTTTCAGTTATTAAAGAAAATTTTAATTCGGTCCAATGTTTCCGATTTATTCAACACGTATTTCATCGAAATTATTATGTAGGACATTCAAATTAGTTGTAAACTAATGTAAACAGAGAACAAAATTTCTAACACTTAATAAATAAAAGAGAGATTTCTTAAATTTAATAAATGTAGTCATTACAATAGTTAATCAAATCGATTCTTTAAATTAAGAAATGTAAATGATTAAATTTAAACTAAATTTTTGTGATTTAAATAGTTTTTATTCCAAATTTAAATTCAATGAAATAAACGTAAATAGAAGTTGTGAGTCCAAATAAATCTTTCTCTCTGTAGACACTGTGTGATATCGAAGGGGCAATGGCAACCCAATTTCTTGTTATATATATATATGTATATATAGAATATAGTTAGATATGTATATATATATATATATGCAGAAGTTTTTTCAACTATTTAAATTTAAAAATTTTCAAATAATTTATTGTCTCTTCATATATTTGTAAGACTGATATTGAATTACTTGAAATACATATTTTGAAACGATATTGTTGTGTAATTGAATTAAATAATTTGGCCGAGAAAAATAGAAGAAAATATATTCATATTAAAGTATTTATATAAAAATACTTATATAAATAAAAAATAAGAAAAATTTCTGCAACACTTAATACACATGCTATATATAGGGTAACTCCGGCAAATACGCCCCGCTGGGATTTACGCCGCAGAAGTCAGAAAAAAAAATAGAAGGAATGGAGATAATTTTCCCGTAACTACTCTGTTACATGCCTTTATGTTATATTAGTATTGTGTTATGATTTCAGCTTCTTACTGTTAATATTAATGAATTTATTGCGAGTTGAATCGATTTGTCACTGTAATAAATAACACCATCATAAGTTATAATCTACATAAAATGATTAATGTAGGACGTGTAAAAGACTTAGTGGTTATTTCGTGATACATACGTGTAGTGGAATAGTAAAGCATGTTTGTATTATTAAGCATGTTTGCATTATTTGTAAATATTTCATGAGCCGTACATACCCCCTTTCCCTCTATGAGTAGCCATATATCCCACCCCTATGAGATATGCGGCAAAAATACAAGGTTTCGAACGTTTATTTTTTAATATGAAAAATAAATATTTCGGATTTCTCTAATATTTTTTTCATAGTAGTACAAAGTTTTTACTGATATAGTTCGTTTACTATAAACATAGTAAACAATACTTACTAAATTAAGTTTTCGATAGGTGCGGCGTATTACCCTATTTTACTGACTCCGGGATTCGAAAATTACGGCTCAATGCTTCGTCGTCAATGCTAGGTCGGACGATTTTCGCAAACATCGAGCCGCGAGTATTGTTCGCGCCGATTGGAAACTCAGGTGGCGCTCGCGGGACTTCCGCTTCGTGTAGGATTAAATCTTTAAATATTCAGCATAGCCACGGCGTTGTTTGAGAAACCGCACACGACGCGACGCGGCGCCGCTCGTTTTCTTGCTGAAGTCACGCGCCGTATTGTCGTGAATACTGGTGGAATACGAAATCGCGTCTCCATTCGCCCATTCGCACCGACGCGACGCGACGATCTACCATCGAACTTTTCCGCGTCGTTTCGGAAAATATTTTCCAACGAAAGAAGAAGAGAGCAACGCTGGTAAGTTCTCTCGCGAAAACGGTCGCAGCTCGTTATACTCGGAAGGCGGCGCGGCTCGCGCCGTCGTTTCCCCGATGGTGAAGTTTTGATAGCGATGAGGCGATGAGGCGCGGTGGGTGCCAAGTAACTTTATTGAAAAGTATCTAGATAAGTCTCGGAGAACAAAGGTAGTGCTTATATACGTGTCGTCTCGCGCTCGTTTCTCTCTGCGCCGCATCTCTCGTTTTTCATCGTTCACATCAATCCCGCGATCTTCTACCTTATCTATCCACCTACCGACATAACTTTGCCCCCCCCCCCTAACTCTCGATGCGATCACACGGTCCTGAAGCGGAATATTGCCTTTTCGTCGTCGCGCAAGCAAAATCCTTTCCTGCCGCTCGAACACTCGCTGGAAATTGACTCTGCTTATATCGGCTTACCGGTGGCTTCGCAGACTGTCGGTCGCCGCTCTCTTCTTCGTCTCAACGATGGCGTTTTTCTCTGGTCGTGGTCCGTATGCCGGCTGTTACTTTCTTATATGGATGCTTTCTTAGTGCGGGACGTCAACCGGCAAAGTGCACGCGCTGTTGATACTGATGATGCGGTTGGACGTTGCTCTCTGCAGGAAATCAAAGCGATCATGACGAATGAAATTTTTGCTCCTCGCAAAACATTTGTGCGAGATTTAACACTTTAATGTCGCAACGATTACGTTAAAAATTCATATTTTATCATTCTTTTATATATAATTATTTGATTTTTTTATATTTAGATACATATTTATATGCATGTGTGCCGTAGAATATGTTTTTAAAATATATTGAAAAAGAAAATAACAAGTTTTATCTCGTACCATTAATAAATATAATTGTTAAACTTTTAGAACAAATAAAATTTATAAGAATTTTTTACATTAAGAAGAGGAGTAGCTTTATCTCTAGATGATAATTCAGGTTAATTATCTGAATAATGTGCAGTCAAGAGTTAAGTTTGTGCACAAACTTCTTGTTAATTTTACATAATGTCCGTGAAATGAATAATATATTAACCTGAATAAATGTGAGAAAATGATAAAAAAAGTCATTTCCGCTCTGTTTTAATTTTAGTTTATTTTGAGCTATAATGTGGATATATTTTGCTTTCGTACAAATACATTAATAAACGTGTGGAAATGGTAATTTCCGAGGGTGTAAGAGTTTTTTAAGCCGAAACGCATCTACCATCTGTCGTATCCTTCTTCTGCGCCAGTTGCCTTCCGGTGTTTCTCGACCATGAAAGCCACACGTGTTGAATTCTTCCGAAAGCTGAGACAAGACGAGACAGACACACGTGCGTCTATCCTTACGTGACTTATCTTCGGCGATACATACCTGAAGACGCAATGCCGAGAATGCGACTCTACCATACAAATGTATTTGCTGTAAAATATATTTGCCGCGATTTTTGCGATAAAGAGATTTAGACTGCAATAAGCTTGCAGCAACGCGACGGTTCTACGTACCACGAAGAATAATTATTTCCGATATGCCCGCATGCGACTGGTCGTTGAGAAATTCGGGATTTATTCGCACGAGAATATTATAATGAACGCAATAAATATCACGAGGTGTCGTATTCGATGAACAGGTATAAATCGCGTATGCGATTACGTTCATTCCCGTGCATTAATAAACGGTACGTTGCACCTTGTAAAATATATAATGCATGTTAATGTAACTGGCATATATAGGTACTGAAACTATGTATCGGTTTAATAATGGACGTATGCACATCGGTATGTTGATAGCCTTCCGTATGTTCAGCGCGGTATAGTTTATCTTGCGCCAAGGAAGTTATGTGCCGGCGCAGACACTCGCGCTTGCACGTCCTAACGATATATATCAGTATAATGTATAAGTATCGATATATATCACTGGCGAATGTGTAAATATGTAGTATGCTGGCGCGTATATGCGTGGTTTGCGTATTAAGCGTGCGACTTATGTTTGAACATGACGTTCACATGCGCAAACCCATAAACACATAATCTGCATAATGCAAGTGACATATATGTACGATCGCATCTTACTCGTGTGCATAAGGGAGAGTCTTGACAGTGGCCGATAAGAAAGGAACAATGAAAAATGAGATTGTGTTAAACGACTTTGTTAAACCCTCAAGCTTTCAATTAACAGTTAAAAGTTCAGTTAGCAATTAAATGGTGTCGAATTATCGATAAATAGAATAAAATAGAATATGATTGTCTAAATTTTCAGGAAACCTCACGTTTGAAACACATGGACGTTGTATTTATTTATGCCGTTGTATTTATTTATTTTATTTGTTGAAAATACGAAGCTGTCCAAATAGAGCGGCGATTTTATTGCTTCTTAAAACTTCGAGGAGACATTTCAGAATATCCTATATCCTTCTCTCTCTCTCTCTCTCCGCACATGTGCTCGTCGATGATTCACGGCCCCGTGCATGCTGTATGCACGCACTTTTCTTGTCCTCGCCGAATATCGTCTACGTTCTTTTTCTTCGTCGTGACTGGTTCGGCGAGCATTACTGATCGTCCATAAGAAAATCCGTGGTGTATTTTCCCGTACAATTTGCTGTTTTCCTTGGTGCCGGTTGTCCTTTAGTGCCTCACCTATATTCTCAGAGATGAAGTGTAGAGAAAGAGTGCCGCGTAGAAACTTTATCTGATTATTTGCATTATTCATTTTTATTGTAATGAAGCCATTTCAAGAATTGTTAATTATTTTATTAAAAAAATATATAAAAGAAAACAATTATTCTATAATCGTGTAATATGACGTTGCATGTCATGCAGGATGAAACGCTGTAATATCGGTGTGTTTTTATATGGCAAATTTGGTTTTTGCATGAGAAATGTTTTCGAGTGTAAATGCATCGGTTTTGTTTTATATCTTGTTTGTTTTTTCAATATGCTTTGAGGTTCGCTTCGTTCATGTACGCTTTTTCATATTTCTAAATTGTATTTGTATTAATGTTCCTTTTATGTGTTGAATGTACAACTTTTGAACGATAAAAGAATCCTGCTATATTTTTCAGAGAAAAATTAATAAGCAAACAACTCGTGCAATATGAGAATAATAAACTATACGTCTAATTAATTTAATTAATGCCAATCTTCTTAAATTGCAAATATTATTATTCATGCTTGCTCAAAATACCAGTAGAAATAAAATCTAATTATTCCCTCTCTTTGGAACATACCAAAATCATATGTAAACGTTAACCATCATTCCGGTCGATTTGAATTGCGACCCTTTGAATACACGGCTTCGTGTTCACATCACACATATTAGCGACAAACATGGCTATTTGATCTCGACTCTCGCTAGTGCGATTGTAAACATAAGCCAGTAAGCAAATGCTACGATGATCACGTGATCTTGTTGTACGCTAAATTGCCGGAAATAGTTGCTGCAACCATCGTAAATTTTTAGACGCTTGAGGATTTATAACCGTACACTCTTTCTATACTGTTATTTAAACAATGAAAGCTTGTGATAATCGAAAAATTTATTCGCCACCTTTTATATAATTTTGGAATATGAGAGAAGATAATTACATTTCATTTTTGGTGATATTTCGAATAATTCCGGGTGATAATATTTGCAGTTTAAGAAGATTGAAATTAATTAAATTAATTAGATATATATTTGTCATCTCATTGTATAAGCTTTCAGCTTATTAATTTTATTCTGGCAAATATTGTAGACAATCGAAAAATGTATTTGAATAATTTTAATAGCTTTTTAAATAATTTTACTAATTTTGAAATGGAATTTTCGGAGGGAATGTATTTTTCCATGCCGAGTTATGTTTGATGATATTCAAAAGTTCTCTGATTTTATGTAAAGAGAAAGAGTATTTGTATGAGAGAGTCTATTTCTAAAGTCTGTTCATTAATTTACAAGACGCAACTTGAATCTCCTTTTAATTTCCTAACCGCCACGATAGCAACTAAATATTAACGCTAGTCGGACGAGGAAACTTGAGGTGCGTTTTCAGGATGGGAACAGCACTATCATTGGATTGAACTACATTTCCAAGCCGTGGAATTCTTTGGGGGTGCGCCGAGAAAAAGAGAAAGAGAAAGATGGAGAAGAGTAAGAGAGGAAGAAAGAGAGAACGCGGTCGGGATTTCCTTTGCAAGTTTTTCTCTCGACTCTCGCAACATGTTTCGTTAATTCGAACGGAGTGCTCTGAAGTTTCGTAAGAGGATGTACAAGCGCAACAAATGCGAGAAAGCGCAGTAAGAGAGCCGTTGCGCCTAACTTCTCGTACGTTTAAGTAACTTCTCGACGTGGCTTTCCTACCGCAACGGAATGAGCTTTTTCGCAGTATTGTCTTTGCTGTCTCACGGTTAGTCAGATTTTTTTCATCCTCGGATAGTGCCAGTGAGATCGGGGAGAGATCGATTATTCTAAACTGTTGTCCCGCGGCATTGTTGCTCCATCTGTTTTACATTCGGATTGAGTTATTCCCCGAGATGTCGCTGCTCCAAGATAAACCGTGGCAATTTCTCCCGCTTCTAAACGTACTGTTTATCCTTCTTCCACAAATATGATGTTTCTATTGAATGCTTTTAATGTCAAAAGAAGATAAACTCCACCGCGCGAAAACCTTCGCGTTAGAGAAAGGAGGTCTTGAAGAATAAATTTCGAATATCTTCAATTTTTACATTTGCGTTTTCATGGAAAAGATATGGTTGGCCTA